CCACTATTTCCAGGAGAGAGAATTACTGCTTAAGAAAGCCGCGCAGAGAAGGGAGATTGTCACGTCCGACGGGGACAAGATACATCTTCAGCCCGACTATACTCAAAAAGTCATGAAACAGCGGTCAGCTTTCAATGAGGTTCGTGGCATACTCAGAAGCTATGAAGGTGTACGTTATGGTCTGTTTTATCCTGCCGAGTTGAGAATCACCGCGAAAGACGGAATGAGGCGGAGCTTCAAAGACGCAAAGCAGGCTATGGACTTTGTGAGAGACACCCTGAAACCCTAATGTGTTGCAAACGCGGCAACTTCAGTAAATTCCTAACTTGTGCTTGGTGAGTTAAGCGTCGACTTTTGGGGCTATTTTGTCTTTGGACTTAATCTTATTTCCTTTCTTTGACTATGTCGAACGACATCTAAAAAGAAAAAAGAAACGAAAATGAAACTGATTGACAGTAATAATATAAAGATACATGCTTTTTATTACTGGTCTTTACGTTTGTTCTCTGTCAGTAAGAGAAATGCAGTTTGTGATAATGTTATTCCATTATAGTTCAGTAGGAGTTTAAGTCAGTATGGATAGTTATGAGGATGTTACCTGGAAGTATAGCAGCCTCCACTAGAGGCCAGCTTATAGGAGTTAAGTTGTTCAACGTTTTATCCCCCCCCCCCCCCCCCCCACCACCACCACACACACACACATTATATTATTGTTTTACTTTTCATTTCAATACCCCTCATTCCATTCACACACACCCAGGGAGCACGTTCTATGGTACAAAAAAAAAAAAAAAAAAAGAAATGATAAATGACAAAGCGCGGTGATACTGTACTTCTAAGCTGGAACTGCCGTGGCCTTAACCATCCGATAAAGAGAAGCAAAGTGTTCTCCCATATCTCTAAACAGAAAGCAACGATTGTTTATCTTCAAGAAACACATCTAATTCCTAAGGATCATAATAAGCTGAAAAGAGGGGGATTTCAAAAAATTTTTCATTCAAAGTTTACTGCAAAAAGTCGAGGTACAGCTATATTAATACATAGAGATGCTGCATTTGAGGAATCAAAAGTTATAGCTGATAAAGAAGGACGCTATATTGTTGTCCAAGGGAAACTCTTTAACCAGCAAGTGCTACTAGTTAACTTGTATGCACCCAATTGGGATAATGTGGATTTTTTTAAAAACCTCATCACACGCCTTCCAGATCTGGACAGTCATCAGCTTATCTTAGGAGGTGACTTTAATTGTATACTCCATCCGGTGCTAGACAGATCTAGTGCGATGTCTGGGTCTCTTAGTAAATCAGCTCGATGCATTAATGAGTTTCTGAAAACTTATGGTATGGTGGATGCATGGAAATATAATAATCCGACATTAAGGCAGTATTCTTTCTTCTCTGCAGCTCATCAGACCTATTCAAGAATTGATTTTATTTTTATAGACAAAAGACTATTATCACTACTTAAATCATGTACATACACAGGCATTGTCATTTCTGACCATAGCCCAGTAAGAATGATTCTTTCCTTCCCTGATAATATACCATCAAGGGGTATGTGGAGGCTTAACTCTAGACTACTTACGGATGAGATATTTGTTGATTTTATATCTAATCAGATAGATTATTTCTTTGAAACTAACTGCACGCCTGGCATGACCTACTGTAACCTTTGGGAGACAATGAAAGCTTTTTTAAGAGGACAAATAATTTCATATAGTGTAGGTGTGAATAAAAAAAGAATGAAGCGGGTCAATGAAATAATTGCAAGGATTAATGAGATAGATCAAGAACATTCAAGATCCCCCACAACTACGCTGTACAAAGAGAGAGGGATGTTACAGTCTGAATTAGATACTCTAACCACTGAAGTAGAAGAAGCATTATATCTGAGATCAAGACAGAGAGAATTTGAATACGGGGAAAAAGCTAGTAAGTTGCTTTCACATCAATTGAGGAAGGCAACTGAAACTAACTATATAGCCGAAATTCAAACGAGTCAAGGAGTAACTACAGATCAAATGGACATTAACAAGCAGTTTAAAAAATTCTATGAAAAGTTATATACATCTGAGACAAATAATAAAGCGAATATATCCCATTTTTTTGATACAATAGAAATGCCCAATATCAGTGATCAAGACAAGTATAATCTTGAACAACCCATATCTATAAAAGAAATTGAACAAGCTATCAAACAAATAAAAAGCGGAAAAGCACCTGGCCCTGATGGATTTATAATTGAATTTTATAAAAAATTTTCACACAAATTATCCCCAATATTAAAAAAGGTGTTTATAGAAATAACTGAGCAGAAATCTTTACCACCAACTATGTCGCAAGCTATTATCACTGTTATACACAAAAAAGGTAAGGATCCCTTGAAGTGTGACTCATATCGACCTATAAGTTTACTTTCAAATGATTACAAGATATTAGCAAAGATTTTGGCAGCAAGGCTTAATCCAGTCATACAAACACTTATTCATCAAGATCAAACAGGATTCATAGCAGGACGGCAGCTTTCAAGCAACTTACGGAGGCTATTTAATATACTTTACTCACAAAGCAGTTCACATTTGCCAGAAGTGCTATTGTCATTAGATGCTCATAAAGCCTTTGACCGTATTGAGTATGAATATCTATTCACAGCTCTGAAAAATTTTGGCTTTGGTCCTGGTTTTTGCACTTGGATTAGTATACTATATTCGCATCCAACTGCTTGTATAAGAACTAACAAGGTAATATCAAACTTTTTTCCTTTATATAGAGGCACCAGACAGGGCTGTCCCCTGTCTCCTCTCCTATTTAATATAGCAATAGAGCCACTAGCTATAGCTTTAAGGAGAGAGTCAGACTTGCTGGGCATTAACAGGAGTGGGAAGACTCACAAGGTTTCACTGTACGCAGATGATCTCATTATATACATATCCAATCCTGATAGTTCCATACCCAAAACAATAGAGCTTATAAATAGCTTTGGGGCAGTTTCAGGATATAAAATTAATTTCAGTAAAAGTATATTATTTCCAATTAATAAGATAGCAAAACAGTCAGACCTCAGTAAATTTCCATTTCAAATTAGTAATATATCTTTTAAGTACCTGGGAATCTCTGTGACCAGTACATATAAACAGCTATTTAGATGTAATTTTGATGCAGTGATGGAAAAAACAAAACAAGATTTAAACCGATGGTCTTTATTGCCTATCTCTCTTGCAGGCAGAATTAATGCGGTTAAGATGTCTATTTTGCCAAGGTTCTTGTTTTTGTTTCAAAATGTCCCAGTATTCATTCCTAAATCCTTCTTTAAGGAGCTGGATAAACAGGTGTCTTCTTTTATATGGAATAAAAGCATTCCACGAATTAGGAAAGCATTTTTAGAAAGGCAGAAAGAAGTTGGGGGACTGGCGTTGCCCAACTTTATGTATTACTATTGGTCATGTAACATTGAAAAAATTGTTTATCTGACAGATCATGAAAATCAGGAGAATGAACCTGAGTGGGTAGAGATGGAGCAGGCATCCTGTGGGACAGTTTCTCTGTTTTCAATGCTTTGTGCCCCACTACCACTTAATAGAAAATATCTACCAAACAATCCTATAGTCAGTGGTTTAATAAAGATATGGGCTCAGTTTAGGATGCATTTTAAGCAGAAACAAGCACTTTCTTTATTACCCATTACTTCCAATGCATTATTTCCACCATCCTTAATTGATCATGCTTTTCAGATCTGGTTTAGAAAGGGACTCAGATATGCAAGGGACTTTTTTCAAGGAAGTCATTTTATGTCATTCGAACATATGACTAAAGAATTGGATATTCCTAAATCACATTTCTTCAGATATCTTCAGGTAAGAAGTCTAGTAAAAAGGTATTTTAATACACTTTCAGCCCCTCCCATAAGTAGCTGGATTGAGGAGATCTTTGATCTAAATGCATCTGAGGGTGGTCTGATATCAAAAATATACAGTCTGATTCAAAGAGCAGCTGCACCATCTCTAGATTTTCTAAAGAAACAGTGGCAAGATGACTTAGGAAATATAGTTCCAGAGTCAGTCTGGCAATCAACAATTAAGCAAATTCACTCAACATCTATTTGTGTCAAACACGGTTTATTACAATTTAAGATAATTCATAGGCTGCACTTTTCTAAAAGCAAATTGTCCAGAATATTTCCAGAAATTGACCCAACATGCTCTAGGTGCCACAGAGACGAGGCCACCTTAGGTCATATGTTCTGGACATGTCCATCCCTAAGACCATTTTGGACTGCGGTGTTTGAGACTTTCTCTTATATATGTGAAAAGGAGATACAACCAGATCCAGTAATGGCAATATTTGGTGCGACACCTGAAAATCTTACACTACCAGCAGGTCAATTAAATGCACTAGCGTTCTCTACTTTGCTGGCCCGAAGACTTATTCTTTTGCAGTGGAAGTCAACTAAACCACCAACACATACTAAATGGGTAGAAAATGTCATGGCGTATCTAAAGCTCGAAAAACTCAAATATAGCACCCAGGGCTCAAATAATAGATTCTTCAAAGTTTGGAGACCCTTCCTGTCATATTTTGAGAACAGATTTATCCCAAATACTTGAAATGTGCTCCCCCCCCCACCCCCCCCCCCCCCCCCCCCAAACCCATTTTTATTTATTTATTTATTTGATTTTATTTATTTATTTTATTTATTTATTATTATTTTTTTGTACCTTTTACCTTTTTTTTTTTAAATTCATATTATTTCACCTTGTATTTGTTTCCTTTTTTATGTACCTTGTTCTTGTATATGTTTGAGTTGCTCTGTTAAAAGTTCAATAAAAAGATTTGTCTACTACTATAAATATTATGGAGGATGAATTTGCGTGTATAAACGGAACTGACATTTAATTAAAAAGAAATGTATTTCCGTATTCAAACTATGCGTATAACGGTAAATGGTAATAGGATATGGAACTGTCCCTGTCTTTAATACGGCTTTTATTTTTGGATCTTGACATTCACAGTTGCCCTTTCGGCGCTGTGTTGTCGAAGGCTGCAGACCCGTCATATCTGAGACTGTTTATTAATACAGGAAGACTGGGACATGGACTGACAGCTCGAAGGAGAGCGCAGCTGTTGAATCGAGGGGGAAACGCGGACTGTAACAGGTATATTGAACGTAAACGTGGTGAATTTGTCCTTGTAATCCGCTAACCAGATTTCCGTCACGCCGCCGCCGTCCATGTAGCTGCAGCTTGGACTAATGATGGGAACTGCCGGTGTTACACCGGTGCTTTATAGCTTATAAACACAGCAAATTGCTGACAGAAAATCATCATCATTTCGATTAAATAGATTTTCATAAATGTGTAGTTGCAATGTCGGAACGCTGCTAGCAATAGCATTAACACAAATAAAACCGCGGACATTATGTTTCCGATCTGTACTAAGTAAGCCGGCGGCGTAGGACAGTTTGTACCGTACTTGCGCTGTGTCCTGTTTGTGTATCATGTTGAGGAAAGTATACAAAAAACAGAAAGTACCTTGTTTTTGGATGAGTGCCAGGATATAGGCACTATGAAAATACCATGGTATTTAAATCTCTTAACATAGGCTTTTTTACATTGGTATTTGTTTACTAACAATCAAATATTTCATAAGAAATGCTGTCAAATGTACAGTAATTAGCCTATTACTGGCAATTTTGGTTGCCAGTAGCCTATTACTGTAAAATTGACAAGTGCAATAAATAAACAATTCCTATTGTGCTGTAGTTGTTTTGTAGTGCTGTAGTTTTTTTTTGCAGTGTCAATATTTGGTAACACTTTATAATAACTACACCTTATGAATCATTTATTAAGCATTAGCATAGTGAATTCATTATTTGTTATATGCATTAATTTTACATTAATAAATGTTAGTAAGCAGTTTATAACTGCAGATACAAATGCAAATTTTTGACTTATAAGAACATTATAATGTGCTTAATAATTACTTTGACCATTTGAGACTGGTTGATTTTTCATTACTAAATTAAGTGTTGCATTATTTACAAGTCATTTGTATTTAAAAGTAATTGGGGTTTTTAAGATCCTTCAGAATGAGTTAGTAAATGATTAATGAACTATTGAAATTAACTTTATATATCTTATTATTCAGGCATATTGTAATGGTTATGTTAATTAATACTTTAGTAACTTAACTTCATTCAGTTTTGTGACCTAATCTAAAGTGAGGACCAATTATGCTTAATAAATCCCTTATAAATGACAAATAAAGGCTCAGTATCAAATGAACTATAATAGTTATCTGAAAAGTAAAATTACTGAACAACAGGAGTGTCAAAATACAACATACAATTGCATAAAACAACAACAATATAATAATTTAACAATAATAAGGTGCAATGTTTAAACTGTACGGTAACTTTATTTTAGATTGCAAAGATTTATTTTTATTTGATACAGTTTCATCTGTGTATCTTCAGATGAATAGAAATAAATAATGTTGTTTATGTCATTTTTCCTGTTTAGAATATAACTGAGCCTTTAATTGTCATTTATAAGGGATTTATAAAGCATGAATGGTCCTCACTTTAGATTAGGTCACAAAACTGCATGAAGTTGAGTTAATAAAACATTTATTAACATACAAATGAACGATTAGTGTATGCCTGAATAATAAGATACATAAATGTTAATTTCTATAGTTTATTAATCATTTCCTAACTCATTCTGAATGATCTTAAAAAATCATTAACTATGCTTAAATAACTGGTTTGTAAATAATGTGATACTTAATTTAGTAATAAAAAAATAAATCATTAACTAAGTATGAAAATACAATTATTAAGCACATTATAAATGTGGTTATGTCAAGAAAACAGCATTTGCAGCTGCAGTTATAAACAGCTTACTAACGTTTATTAATGTAAAGTTTATTAATGTATTCTGCTTAACAGATAATGAATTCAATATTTGCTAATGCTTAATAAATGATTCATAGTTATTATAAAGTGTTACCGTGTGTGGGTTATTAAATCTAAATTGTATTAGATTATTTTATGATATTGCACTACTATTTATTCATCTTGAGTTTAATAAATATAAAAATGTACGTCTGAGTGAAATTTGTATCCTGTAGGTTTGCACTAGCCTAATTAGTTTTTTTTTGTGTGTGTGTGTGTTTTCTTAAAGGAGAGTCTATAATAATGACCAAAGAAGATGAAATTCCAGACTGGGCCGGAGCTCAAGACTTTTATCAGAAATATGATCCTAAAGAGATCCTTGGAAGGTAATGTAGAGCTGTATTCATATTTTACTGAGGACCGTAAATGCCCAGGCAATCTTTTTCATGCCATTTAGCAAAATATATTCTTGTTAGTTTTGCACGACGGTAATGCGAATGTTTTTATTTTATTTGATTACATACATTACATTTCTCTCTTTTTTATTTAATTTGAAGTATTATGCCAAACTGACAGTTCTTTTTAGATTAGTCTAAAAATAATAAATAATA